AGGCGCAGTGCACCCGCGACCGCGCTCCTGAGCCACCCGGGAGGGGTCCAGCACTCGTGGGCGGCGCCGTGGAGTGCGCGCAGTTGCCGTGTACGCCCCCGCCAGAAGGCCTCGAGGCCTAGGACGGAGACGGGTGGCGTCCGAATGGGTGAACAGCCCACGGCAACGGGCGTCGCAGGCGGTGCCGGTGGCAGGTGATTCTGAGCGTTGGGGTCCGGCGCTCGGAGGTCGGCGCGTCTGAGCAGTCTCCGCATCCAAGTTTTGACATCTTGTCTTCTCTGGGCGCGCGCCTCAAGACCGATTTCTGCCGTTTTTTTGCCTTCGATGACCCTTCTCCAGCTGGGCGCCGCTCTCTCCCGCCCGCCTTTTGCTCAAGCGGGTGCCGTCCAGAGCAGAGGCTCCCTCCACGCCGTTGCCCTCAGCCCGAGGACGCCTCGACGAAGTCACCGTTGGCGCGGCTTTGCTTGCACGCGAGTCAGCAGCTTCCTGTTTTGTGGCAAGTGCGGGGCATCTGGGTCGGCAAGGCTGCGAAAATGTTGACCGCCTGCACCGGAGAACCAGCGACCTCTTTTTCGAAGCACAGTGTTATTCATCTGTATTGGCTGGCCAGGGCGCCGAATGGATTGGGTGGAGCCCTCTGTCATACAGACGCGTCATGTAGACGGTATGGAAAGTCCTCCCGGCCCTATCCCCACTTTCTGTTGAAAATCCACCGTGTTCCGCGGGGTCGCTTCGGTGAAATAAACGAAGCAACAAGAGCTTCCCTGATCTGCCAGGTGACTATCCTTTTATAGCTTGGCGCCGCCCTCTCCCGCCCGCCTCTTGCTCCAGAGGGCGGCGTCCAGAGCAGAGGCTCCCTCCACGCCGTTACTCTCAGCCCGAGGACGCCTCGACGAAGTCACCGTTGGCGCGGCTTTGCTTGCACGCGAGTCAGCAGCTTCCTGTTTTGTGGCAAGTGCGGGGCATCTGGGCCGGCAGGGCTGAAACAATGGTGACAGCCTGCATCAGAGAGCCAGCGAGCTTTTTTTCGAAGCGCAGTTTTACGTGTCCGTGTTGGCTGACCAGGTCGTTGAGCGAATTGGGTGGAGTCCTCTGTCATACAGACGCGTCATGTAGACGGTATGGGGAGTCCGCTCAGCCCCATCTTCCACGTTCACTCTTGAACATCTACCGCGTTCAGCGGTCTCGGTAGAATGAACCCAATGAGCCAGAAATGTTGCTATCTAGCGCGACTGGGATGGGTTGAATGTTCTGCTCTCCATCGTGGGCCATGACCGCGCAAGTTCACGACTAGACGCCTTGTCTATGTTTGCGGCAGCAAGTTTGCCGAGTGGGGTGCGTACACACCAATTCGGTTCGCAGGGTTGCCCTCAATGGCGCGGGTTGGCGCGAATGTTGGTAACCTTGCGTGTCACGTTCCAGATTGTTCCAGCGCATCTCAGTCACCATGGCCATGCGGCTGCTACTGTTTCTCCTCCTACTCCTACTCCTCCTCGCCTCGCACGGCTCATAGTCGACGCGGCTTGGGGGGGCGAATAGGCGACTAGGATGCATGAATTTCCTTTACTCGCAGTGTTGCGGAATGTTGCGCGGCTTGGTGCGACGGCCTGCATCTTTTGCGTGTCGGCTTCGGCGGTTCGTGTGTCTCACCTCTGCCTTCTGTGCCACCTGTGGGGCTGTTGGCATCGCCTGGCAGCCTGCCGCGCGACGTCACCGAGCCGCACACGCGGCCTGCAGCTCTGCGCATACGAAGCTCCACTGTTCATAATCGCAGCTTCCGTTCCAGCTCGCAGAAGTTTTTTTTTGCGCAGTTTGTGCGAGACCGCCTGCGCACGAGTGAGGAGGTCCCCCTACACAAGGACACGTTTCCAGGGCCGCAGACGTCTCGAGAAACAGTTCAAGGTTCAGAGTTCGGGCCTCACATCAGAAAGCACAGTTCTGAATGGTTCGCGATCCGCTCTACTACAGCCGTCAGGGTCCTGCGGGCCGTCGAGCTAACAGGGAAACAAACGATACAACGACCACACTCACTTTAAGATGGCATGGCACCCCGAATGACCATCCTCCTCAAGCTTGGTGCCGCCCCCTCCCGCCCGCCTCTTGCTCCAGAGGGCGCCGTCCAGAGCAGAGGCCCCCTCCACGCCGTTGCCCTCAGCCCGAGAATGCCTCGACGAAGCCAATTTGTGCGACGTTGCTTGCACGCGGGTCAGCCGCGTTCTGTATTGTGGCAGGTGCGAGGCGCTTGAGGCGGCAGGGGTAAGAAGATGCTGGCCATCGGCACGTTACGACCTGCGCGGCATGGCTTGAATGGCTGTTCGGTGTTGCACCGCCAGCGTGGCAGGTCTCCTAAGGAACCCATCGAGACCCCGATTAGGTGCAACGCAGTGGAGTGCAACGCAGCATGACGCTTCTCGATGCCAGACAGAGCGCAGCACAGCAGATCGAGGCATCGTAGCACAGCGCAGCGTTGTTTAATTATGTATATCAACCGCATCATGTGGCAGTGTTGCTTAACTGCTTAGCATAGCGTGCCGTGGCATTACATACCATCTCAAACGATAGTTTGGCAAAGTTTGCGTGTAGCGTGGCACACCACATGATGGGCAATAGCATCAGCCTTAGCACAGGCTTCAGCTTTCGCAACTGCATGGCATACATAGCATGCGCACTAGCGTTCACATTCGTACTATCCTGTCCAGGCCTCCCAAAGTGTGTCCTAGTATGTTGGGTCGAAAGGTCGCACCACATCGCCGATACATCGGCGATGCGGCTCGATGTGGAGCAACGTTTTCTCCACGCCGATGGCGCTGATGCATCGCCAGTGGATCGGGGAAGCATCGGCGATGTGGTGCGATGTCCAAGCCCCGTCTCCTCGGAATCAACATGAGAGGCCCCCATTATAGCACGAAGTGGATTTCCTCTCGCATAGCGCAGCATAGCAAAGCGAAGCCTTTGTGCGAGGAGCTGGGGCCCATGTCACGAGCACTCGCACTGAACCGACAGCCAGAACAAAGCATGTAAGAGACCTGTCAGGCCAAACGGATGGGCGTTCGCGCAGTTGCGCAGGGCAACCAACGAGCGGCGTTGATAATCGCTAGCTCGATGCTCCCGTCATATAGACACGTCGTGAAGACGTTCTGGTGCTTCCTGATAGCCTCATGCGTTGCCCTTCTCTGGCACTTCTATTGCTTCCAGCAGGTCCATCTGGATTAGTGAGGTGAACCAACAATGGTGTCAGCAGACTGGACGAGAAGTCCTATCTTTGTTTGTGGCGATGGATTTGCCGAGCGGGGTGCGTGGAAGAACTTCGGCTCTCAGGGTGGCCCTTAATGGCGCGGCTTGGCGCGAAGGCTGGCAACCAAGCGCATCACGTTCCAGCGCGTCTCGGTTGCATCGGCCATGCGGCTGCAACCGCTCCTCCGCTTCTTCGTTCTTTCCCATCCTCCGCCGCTTCTTCGCTTCAACTCACACGGTTGCCGTCCGCGGCGCGGCTTGGCGCAGCGGCCAGTCAGCTTGTGCATTGAGGCATGGATTTCCCGAGTACGATGAGTAGGATGATTTCTACTAGCAGTTTTTCGGAGCGTGGCGCGGCGTGGTGCGACTTATAACCACGTGGCCTGGCGCTGAGACTGCAGGCTCTGTAGTGCCAAGTCAATGCTCCATTGCTCATGAACGCAGCTCGCAGAAGATTTCGAGAGGCATTCTGTATGCCAGGTCGCCTGGTTAAAAAAAGAGCGCTGCCATACCAAAATAGAGCCTCCAGAGTTGCCGATGTCTCAGGAAGCAGTTCTACGGTCAGAGCTCGAGCCTGCCATCGGAACGTAAAGTTATGGAAATTCCCGGTTCGCTTGGCTGCAGTCTCTTGAATATTGTGGGGGCCGCGAGATGCGTACGGAGTATACAGGGCTCAAATGTCATAACCAGTGGGGCTAGCCACACTTGATAAAATAGTCTGCTCAAGGTAAGGCTGCCCATGCTCCACAGAATTGGCATAGTTTTTTGGAAGGTCACAATTCGTAGTCTTGACCACCTGGAGTGTCCCTTAGATTGTCCTTGACGATACGTGAAGATCTGAGGCAGTCTGCACTCTTTCGAGAAACACCTTCAATGCGATGTCTTGGAAATGCCGAAGCGACCTCAAGCATAATGCTGTAGCTCTGATAGCGTCACGTCACTCTAACCCCGAATCGCAACTCCAGGCACTGTTCCTTTGGGATACTGTTGTTCTGGCAATCCGGCGACGAATCCCAAATCGGCGGCTTCGTGCTTAAGGACCACGCTCCTCGCAAAACCAGCCCCCGGACTGATGGAGACGTTTCACGTTTGCCCCGAGGTGCGTTAAGGAGCCAAGATGCCCGCAGAGAGCCCAAGGAGACCCTAACTCCAAGAGGCTCCCAGATGCCGTCCGAAAAGCCCCAAGAGGCCCCCTGGCCCAGAGCGCTGGCCCTCCGCGCGAGTCCACCTGCGGCTGTGAGTGTGCCATGTCTGTAGTGTGAGCGGCAGCATCGCCCTGTAGCAAGCAGTTGCCTCAGGGGCTTGGGCGGCGCGGGGGGACGACGGAGGCGCCGGGCAGGAAACGGTTGCAGCGTCAAGAGGCCAGATCTAAGTCGGGCCTGTTCCCCTCTACAGGGGGGAGGTTCAAGCAAAGTGATGAAACATAGTCTTGGGACCATTTGTGGACCATTCTTGGATTTTCTAAGGGTATGTTTGGACCATGCTCTATTTTTCGTCCAAAATCGGCCTGTGGGGGGACGGGCCCGACGTAAGGCCAGATCCGTAGCTTGAGCGCACGAAGGCCCACCTCCGCTCCGCAGGGCGGAGAGCGTCGGAAGCGGGCGGCTCCCCGTCGACCGGCGGACCCGGCACGGGTTCTCCTGGGGGCTGCCAGGAGGGGAAAAAAGGCACGTTCGTTTTTTGCCATCCAGCGGAGCCCTGTGGCACAGAGGCAGGAGGGGGGGGGAGGGAGGGAGCGGGGGGGGGGGGGGAAGCCAGGCGCGCGGCTCACAGCCCGGCCGCGTGCACCTCATTAGTCTGGCGCCCTCGGGCGGGCCTCCCGGCGAGCCTGGAGGGCGCCCCGCCAAGCCGCCTCCGCGCCGCCCGCGTGCGCTGCTGGGAGCAGGAGGGAAAGAAGCACACAGGCACAATTTGTAATCGTCGATCCCCCGGAGAATATGGAAGCATATGGGGAGCGGGGGAGAAGATACCACAAACCCAGAAAGCACGGGAGCGTATGGGGAATCCGACTATCTGCGTGTATCTACCTGTGGGCCCCAGGGCCCCTTGCAGGTCGGCGCGAGCCGCGAGGGGAAGCTTTTTGGGCTCTCTTGGGCGCCGCCGCCGATATCAGCCAGGCAGCCGGTGCTGGCCGTCCGCCGGCAGAGGTCACGAGACAGGGGTGTCTACACGGGACCCGCCGGCCAAGACCCCCTCGAGTTATGTCAGCGGCGCCGTATAACGGGTACTCACTAACGGGTACTTTTGAAAATTGCCGAAAGTTGCCACTTTGGGGCCTCTTTGTGGCATTGCAGCGTTGCCCACATCGGGGAGGGTTAGGTTCGCGGGGTCACTGGCCAAAGTACCCGGTAGTGGAGTCCCCGTTAGAGGGGCGCTGATCATGAAAAAAAATCACGACGAGCGGTTTTCATGATCTTTGGCCTCTGGGGGCCCTTACCGGCCTTCGGGGCCGTCAAGAACGACTCAGGGCGAAAGACCGGTCCCGGGGAACGGGTCCAGACAGGCTCCTGAGGGTCCGAATTAGCGAAGGGCGAACTCAGGCGAAACAGCAGTTCTCTAGGCACAAAACAGGCCGGGGCCAAGACACGTGAAGGACATTGGGAACTGCGTGTTCTACCGCTGGTGGCAGAAAACCGGGGGGGGGAACCCCCAACCCGTCCCCCCCCCCTCGAAAACTGAGGGGGATCACTACCGGTTCGAACCCCCCCCCCAGTCCATCATGAAAGGGGGGGGTCACTACTGGTTCGAACCCCCCCACTCTCCTCGAAAACGGGGGGGGTCACTACTGGTTCGAATCCCCCCCCCCCCCCCCCTTCGCCACCGGCAATTAATTCCCGCTCCTCGGGACGGGACAGTTGGACAGTGGCTGGGATACAGGGACAGGGACAGTGGTGCGGGGACAGTGGGGCAGTGGTGCGGACAGTGGTGGGGACGGTGGTGGTGGGGACACAGGTGAGGGGACAGCGGGACAATGGTGGGGACAGTGGGACAGCGGCGGGGACCGTAGTGGTGGGGACAGTGGTGAAGGCGGTGGTGAGGACGGTGGTGGGACAGTAGTACAGTGGGGAGAGTGGTGGGGACAGTGGGGACAGTGGGACAGTGGTGGGGACAGTGGAGACAGTAGGACAGCACAACGGGACAGCGGCGGGGACAGTGAGACAGTGGGACAGTAGTGGGAACAGTGGGGACAGTGGGATAGTGGTGGGGACCGTGGGGAAAGTGGGGAGATTAGGACCGTGGTGGGACAATGGTGGGGAGAGTGGGGACAGTGAGACACTGATGGGGGCATTGGTGGGAACAGCGGGAACAATGGTGGGAACAGCGGGGACAGTGGGACAGCGGTGGGGACTGTGGGACAGTGGTGGGGACGGTGGTGGTGGGGACAGTGGTGTGGGGACAGTGGGAATGTGGTGGGGACAGCGGGACAGTGGTGGTGAGGACGGTGGTGGCGAGGACGGTGGTGGGACAATGGGACAGAGACACTGATGGGGGCACTGGTGGGAACAGTGGGACAGCTCAGTGGGACATTGACGGGGATAGTGGGACAGCGGGAACAGTGGGGACAGTGGGACAGTGGTGGGGACCGTGGGGAAAGTGGGGATAGTGGGGATAGTGGGACCGTGGTGGGAACAGTGGTGGGGACAGTGGGGACAGTGCGACAGTGGTGGGGGCACTGGTGGGGACAGTGGGGACGGTGGTGGGAACAGTGGGGACAGTAGTGGTGGGGACAGTGGTGCTGGGACAGCAGTGGGGGATGTGGTGCGGACGGTGGTGGGGACTCGGGAGTCCTTTGCTGGCGGTGAGTGTGGGGGGGTTCGAACTGGTAGTGACCCCCCCCCGGTTTTCTGGAGGGGGGGGGGCCTTCGAACTGGTAGTGACCGCCCTTCGGCTTTCTGGAGAGGGGGGTTCGAACCGGTAGTGAACCCCTCTGGTTTTCTGGAGGGGGGGGGAGGGGAGGGGGGGGGGATTCGGGGCGCCGAAGGAGCCTCGGGAGGGGTGGGGGGAAGGGCGGGGGCGTCCAGCAGGGGGGGTATTTTCGAGGGGGGGGGACCCCCGGGTTCCGGAGGAAGAGGGGGGGGAATTTCCTGTAGTTAAAGCGGCGGTGGATCGCGTTCTCTCAGATGTTGCGAAGGCCTTACGACCGACCCTGAAGACGACGAACATGAAAATTATCCCGGCAAAGCAACCTAACAGCGATGTGTAGGAGCATATCTGGAAGCATTCCCCTTACGATTCAGATGAGAAACCAGTTGTAGAATTCTGCTGTTCTCGCAGTCGTAGTCGCATTCGCGAGGACAGTCGCAGTGGCAACGGCAGTCACAGTCACAGCCTCAGCCTCAGCCTGCCTCAGCCTCAGCCTCAGCCTGCCTCAGCCTCAGCCTGCCTCAGCCTCAGCCTCAGCCTGCTTCAGCCTCAGCCTCAGTCTGCCTTCAGCCTCGGCCTCAGCCTCAGCCTGCCTCAGCCTCAGCCTGCATCAGCCTCAGCCTCAGCCTCAGCCTGCCTCAGCATCAGCCTGCCTCAGCCTCAGCCTCAGCCTGCCTCAGCCTCAGCCTCAGCCTGCTTCAGCCTCAGCCTCAGTCTGCCTTCAGCCTCGGCCTCAGCCTCAGCCTGCCTCATCCTCAGCCTGCCTCAGCCTCAGCATCAGCCTGCCTCAGCATTCAAAATGTGGCCCGGGAATGGAGTTCTGGGAACTCGAAGAACACGAAGTGGCCTACAGTTGGCTCCGGGCATTCAAAATCATGCCCAGGAATGGAGTTCTGGGAACTCGAAGACCACGAAGTGGCCTACAGTTGGCTCCGGGCATCCAAAATGTGGCCCGGGAATGGAGTTCTGGGAACTCGAAGAGCACGAAGTGGCCTACAGTTGGCTCCGGGCATCCAAAATGTGGCCCGGGAATGGAGTTCTGGGAAGTCGAAGAGCACGAAGTGGCCTACAGTTGGCTCCGGGCATTCAAAATGTGGCCCGGGAATGGAGTTCTGGGAGCGCCAAGAGCGATTTTGCGAGGATGTCCAAAGCGATTTCGGCTTCGGCGGCAGCCGCCCCGGGTCCCGCCCCGACCCCCCTGAGGAGTCATGATGCTCTCTTTTGACACCACTAGAAACCTATCAGTCTTCGCTGATAGGTAATGAGCATGCGAGGGTTTGGAGTCGGAGGAGGAGGAGGAGGAGGAGGAGGAGGAGGAGGAGGAGGAGGAGGAGGAGTGAGAGGGAAGAGGACGGGTTGAGGAGGCGGATGATGGAGGAGGAGGGGGGGAAAGGATGAGGAGGATGAGCAGGAGGAGGAAGAGGAGGAGGAGGAGGAGGAGGAGGAGGAGAAGGAGGAGTGGGGGAACAGCGAGAGGAATGCGGAGGAGGAGGAGGAAAAGCAGGATGATGATGATGATGATGATGCTGATGATGATGATGATGATGATGATGATGATGATGAGGATGAGGATGGGGATGAGGATGAGGATGAGGATGAGGATGAGGATGAGGAGGAGGAGGAGGAGGAGGAGGAGGAGGAGGAGGAGGACGAGTGGGGGAGCAGCAAGAGGAAGCGAGTAGGAGCAACCAATTCTGGAGGCCTCGGCTCTCGACGGAAATGGGAGGGAGAGGGCGGGGACAAAACCTTTCCGACAATCAATGAATATATGGCCTGTCGGGGCCTTCTTGAGAGTCCTTGTGGGGCTCTTTTGACCCGTCTGAGGGCCTCCTTTGGCCGTCCTTAGGCGTTTCTGGGCTGTCTCGTGGGGCTTGGACCGTCTAGGGGCGCTCTTGCAGGTCCGTCGTGGCGACCCCCCCTCCTCCAGCGCATCGACAGAGGGCCCCTCTGCAAAAACCACAACGACAACGCAAACAAGGACGACTACAAAATCTTCTGGGAAGACTTGTTGAAAGTCACGACCGAGCTGATACGATGGCGGATTTTTTGGAACAGGTTCAATGGCGAGTACGTCAAGCAAAGCTGGTGGACAATGAACCGCTGGGGAACGACCTCCCGGTAGACGAGCCTGCTTTCACAGCAAGGGAAGGTGGGGCGGCAGTTCGCAAGCTCAAATGGGAAAATCGTCGGGACACACGACATACCAGCAGAGTGCTGGATATCAGTGTCACACACACGTACACCAGGCGGACTACAATGGATCATGGAATTGGGCAACGCAGTTTGGCATGAACAGAACGTGCCTGAAGCACGGCGGCATGCAAGGGTCAGTACGATTTACACGAACAAGGGGCCTGCACATTTCTGCGACAATAACCGGCCAATCAGTTCGTTGAGCGTGGCGTAGAAATTGCTGACCAGCTTCCTATTCCGACTCCAACAAGCAGGAGCAGAAGACCGGCTGACAGAGACGCAGTGCGGCTTTAGACGCGGACGAGATACCACCGACGCAATTCACGCAGTGTGCCGTTTGATCGAGCTCGCACATGGCCACAAGGATAATGGCGCGACGTTTGTAGCCCTAGACAGGAAAAAAACATTCGTTTCGATCAACATCAATGCCCTGCTGGTCGCTTTGCACCGCTTCGGCGTGCCACCGAAGATGCTTGCACTGAATGGGAATATCTACAGTGTGCGGCGGTTTTGCGTGGCGGGGGGCGACAAAATCATCGGAGCGAGCGCCGTGGTCTGGAATTTCTCAAGGGCGTTCTCGGTCACATTTTTTATTCTGTTGATGACAGCTGCGGCGCGGGATGCTGTCAGGAAGCCCACAGACAAAGAACCATCCGACATGTGTGCCGGGAACCCAGAACTGCTGTTGCACGCCGACGACAACTTGCTCATTGGGCGGCACCAACACAGCCTACATCATCTTCTGGATCGTATTGCTGCAGGGGGAGCCGATGTGGGAATGGAGTTGCAC